GTTCCATAAATCCATATAATTTAGTTCCATAAATTTGAGTTTAGATCCATAAATCTATTAAGATCTGCAACTGTCCTACATGCACAAATGCCATCCAATGTATTATGACCTAGATGATGACAGGAAGCAGTTTTGTTTCTTCAAGGCCTTTGATCAAACAGAAAACACATTTGAAGGTGTTCATGTTCCAACAAATTTCTTTCTGGACTGCATCATGAAAGATACAAAAATTGTTTTTGAGGTTGTGCAGTTACTACAGCTTGAAATTTGCCAACCGTGAACTTTCCAACACTAAAAAGAAGAACAGAAAATATTTGTAGGTAGCACATCTTTAACCAAGTGCACTGGACAATATGCTGCGTTGCCAAAACATTTTACTTAACAGTAACTTCTACAAGCTATATTGCTTAAAATCTTTTACACCAAAGTACATAAGAACTGAACTGTAAGATACAAGGTTGGTGTTAAATCTAGTGTTGATGGTAATCATACACAGGAGAAATTACTAAGATGTTGTTACACTGAGTAAATCTACACCAGGCAAGCTGAAAGTGAACTTGACCACAGTAAGAATGCAGCCTCTGGCTTCATTCCAGACTGAGCTACACAGTTTGAATGTGCAATCTTTTATTATTTTGGAGCTTATTAGTCTCGCTTCTTCAATATTCTTATCTCTACGATGGTAAACCTAACAATGCTGATGGTATTTGAAAACAGGTGAAATCGTTAATTAAGATGGTGCTTGCTGAGTAAATCTACATGAAATTGGTGTGTTGCAATTTTGGGTCATGAACTGTAACTTCTGGCAGGTTAGTGTGCTCCACCATCAATTGCTTGATACAGATGTGAACAAATATCTTACTCATTACTGTTATCCAGCAATCAAAGTTAATTAATATCAAAGTTACAAATTATAAACCAGTTCTGGTGAAAATGGATTCTACTCGCACAGTTTACTTAGTTCAGTCCAAAAACTTTTTTGTTAATTACGAAATGAAGCCCAGTACAAAGACATCACATCCCCCTTTCACTGATCAGGTATATAATTTAGTACGAATAGTAAAAATCAACCTACTGCGTTCTAAAAACAAGACATGACGCATTTTTCATTTTGAATAGTAGTTGCAATAGTTTCAAGCTACACTCAGAAAAATAACATAATGCGTATATATCCATCGGTGCCAAAACAGCACATACAGTTTGCAATGCGTTTAAAATGACAATTTTAGCATCATTCAATAAGCTTTTATTATAATAAAATGAATAATCTACCTTTCTTTAGTACGTCCTGCAAATTTCAGTGACATCCACCATAAAATAACGACGATATACCCATTTACAAGTTTCGCCATATTAGTTTATAATGTTTTGGACCAGAGTTGGTTGCTTTCAACATGGCGGTCAAGATCAGGAAGTAACATGTGCCGGCACAAAAACTTCAAAGGTTCCGACTCGAGTGAACCTTCTGCGGTATTTCTATTTTGTGGCTTTGCGCGCGTTGTAAGAAAATTAGGCACCAGTCTGTCAAGTAGTAGTAGAACTTTATTTATTCACGCTGACCCCGTCAACCGTAGCTGATTTCCACGGGGGGCGTGTGCCAGAAAATTATTTTACATGCAGAATATGACAAGGATAAGCTAAGCTATTACAGTAATATATAAATTTAAAAGATATAACAAATGTTTTGAGCTATTTACAGGTAAGTTATATTTACAAAGGTTGCCAAGCACTAATGTGAGCAGCGATTTTATTTCGAAAGGAAGAAAGTGACTTGTTTTCCCTAATTTCTTTTGGTATAGAATTCCAAATGTTTGCTCCGTCGTACATAAAACTATTTTTCATGCTATTTGTACGTGGTTTTGGTAAATAAAGACCACTTGAGACATCCCGAAGGTGGTAATTAGTTTTCTCACTCTTAAACGAAAATAGATTTGTGAGTGATTTTGGGCCCATTTTGCTTATACATCATTCTTGCTTTAGTTTTCTTCCTTTCAGTTTGGAGTGGCTCCCAGCCAAAAGTACGTAACGCAATCGTATAATCTACGTCATTGCTTATATTCAGAATAATTCTTGCCGCTCTATTTTGCAGTTTTTGCAGTCGTTTTGTTTGAGTTTCGCCAAATACATCCCATACTTCACAGCAGTAGTCAAAGTACGGACGAACAATAGTGTTATATATCAAAATAAGTGTATCTTGATCAACAAATGGTTTGATCCGACGAATAGCAGAGATTCCTGCTGTAACTTTTTGGCAAATATTTTCGGTATTACTTTTCCAAGATAAATGCTGGTCAATTGTTACTCCTAGAGTTTTGCATTCATGAACTTGTTTAATTTGTATATTTTCAATGTAAACATTTGGGCAAGAATCAGAAATATTTTTGATCATAGGTTTAGAGCCAATCAACATAAACTCTGTCTTAGCTACATTGAGGCTAAGTTTATTGGCTATTAACCATTTTCTAAGGTTCTCTAAATCAGAATTTACTGCAGTCGCTAGGTCAGTCATAGAATTTGCTGAAGCAGTCAAATTTGTGTCATCAGCAAACAACCGCGGTTTTGTTTTGTTTAGACAATGTGGCAAATCATTGATGTACAACAAAAAGAATAATGGCCCTAATATAGAGCCTTGTGGTACACCACATTTAATCAAGCGCTCAGATGAAAATGAGTTTTTTATTTGGCACTTCTGTTTGTGAGATAGGATTTGAGCAAAGTTAGAGCTTGTCCTTTTATTCCATAGAGCTCTAATTTGTTCAGCAGAATTTGATGATCAACAGTATCAAAGGCTTTCTTCAAATCAATTAAAACTACTAGGTTAAACATTTTTCTGTCTAGATTTACATACCAATCATTAGTACAGTCTAGTAGTGCACTAGCTGTAGAGTGAAATTTTCGAAATCCAAATTGGGAATCACTGAAAAGCTCAAATTTTGTTAAATAGTTATACAGTTGATCATACAATATCCGTTCCATAATTTTACTAATGGCCGGTAAAACTGATATTGGTCTGTAGTTTCCAGGAATACTACGCTGGCCATTTTTATATATGGGCATCACTCCAGCAACCTTCCATTCATCAGGAAAAGAAGATAAAGCAATAGCCTGATTGAAAATAAGTGTCGGTGAATCTGAGATAACAGGTGCAGCTAATTTAATAATTTTGGAAGAGATTTTATCGATGCCAGTGGCTTTATTGTTGGAAAGTCCGTGCAAAAGATGAGAGACATGACTGACAGTAACAGATTGGAAAGCCGCAAATTCTGATTGAGCATTTTTGACATAGGTTTCAAAATTGGAATTTGAATAATCTATTTTTCTAGCTAGATCTGGGCCAATATTTGAAAAATATTCATTAAAGCCCTCCGCAATATCTTCAGGACTTTTCAAATTTTGTTCACCTACATTTAGTTCATTTACCACTGTTGGTTTGTTTTGCCTACCTAACAAGTTGTTTATACTTTTCCAAGCTTTCTTGGGATTAATTTTTTGACCAGCTATTTTCGAAGAATAATAATATTTTTTGGCACTTCTTAGTTCAATATTTACTTTGTTTCTAGCTGTTTTAAATTTTAACCAATCATTCTCATGGTTTGTCAAAATGGCTTTTTGTTTAAACTTGTCCCTTGTATTCATAAGTTTCTTTATATCACTTGTAATCCAAGGGACTTTTTTCGATCTTATCTT